CTTCCCGGTATTCGGGACATCTCCAACATCAAGGACGACAAAATCAACCGGCACAAGAATAGAACCAACTTTGACCAACACATCTTCAATTATGCCCTTCGGTTCCCTCAAAGTGCGATCCGCTAGTTGTAGGCACATCCGGGTCGGCTTAAGCCCTTGTAAACCCAATTGTTTATATATAGAATAAGGCATGAGATTTATACCGGCCCCCAAGTCTAGCATCCCGGTTGTGGCCTTCCCATTTCCAAATGTGATCTTCATGACGAAAGCTCCCGGGTCGCACTCTTTCCGAGGTATAGTAGTCGAGGCTACCTCGGAAATCATCACTTTCTCATTGTCTCCGAACCTCCTCTTTTTCGAAGCTAGATCCTTGAAAAATTGAACATACGCCTGCACGTTTTTGATAACGTCTAGTAGTGGGAGGTTCACGTTCACCTTCGAGAGTATGTCAAAAAGATCCTTAAATTGACGCTCCTTCTTTGTATCTTGCAAACGGCTCGGGAAAGGGACCGGTGGTCGGTATGGTGCATCCGCCTTATGCAAAGCCTCACGGGCATCCTTCTTGGGGTTCACCTTCTCGATTTCCTCATCAACCACATTTTTCCCCTTAGAAACATCAACTTTCTCACCCGGCTCATCATCATCCTCATCAACAACAACTTCAACAACCTCATCTTTCTCGGGCATCTCCACATGGTTGTCAACTTTCTTACCATTTCTCAAAATTGTGATGGCATTGACGTGCTCGGGTTGGCTCGGGAGCTTATCCTTCATCTTGCCCCTTTGAATCTCCCCGATAGAAGTTCCGAGTTGCCCCATTTGAGTCTCGAGGCATTTGAGAGAGGCTTGAATCGAGGGCACTCCTTTGACGGTGTCGTGCAACGTAGAGACGGTAGAGGCCAACGATTGAAGACACTTCTCTAGGCTCTCGATCCGGGTATCCGAGGACTCTCCATTAGCAATTCTCTCGGGCTCCGATGGAGGTGGTATCAGTTGTCTCGGTACAAATCCTCCACGCCCTTGTGGGTATCCTTGGAACTCGGGCCTCGGTTGGTAGCCTTGAAATTCGGGCCTCGGTTGGAAAGGTTGGTTGTTCGGGGGTGCATAGGCTTGGGGTTGGTTGTAAGGTTGAGGTAGTGTCGGTTGGGGTGGATAGGTGGCCTTTGGGTCCCTCCACGATAAGTTAGGATGATTCCTCCACCCGGGATTGTAGGTGTTCGAATACGGATCATTTTGAAACCGGGGAGCATATCCTTGCACAACATTGACATCAAAAGGGACCGCTACAAGGTTGGGATCATAACCCGGCCCCATATACCTCGGGCACTCATGGCCTCCATGTCCCGATTCACCACAACACCCACACACTTCGGTCATTACCACTTGAGTCGACTTTGCGTCCCTTAGCCGGAGTTGCTTGAGTTCCTCCTCCAACGAGGCTAGCTTAGCAAGAACGGCATCGTTCGAGGACCCGGTTGATGGTGTAGCCTCATTTACGGGGGCCCTCTTACGAACGCTCTTTCTTTGCGAATTTTCACTCAACATCTCATA